AAAAAAAAAAGCCACGTGTAAGTGGACCCGTGTAGTTCAAACACGTATTTTTTCCAAGGGTTAACTGTAGTCACATTATTTTAGAACTCCTTGATTTATTTTTTCTGCAGGCAGCAGTGAGCCATGGAAGGTCTCTGAGCAGAGAAGCACTTATTGGGGGCTGCCGGGACTGTGGTTCAGGAGATGAATCTGGCAATATCACCGGCACGATGGTCAGAGGCGGACTGGTCAGTGAGGGAGGAGGGGAGTGTGGAGACAGGGTTGTCATGGAAGCCAAGCGAGGAGAGAATTTATTGGAGGAGGAGGTGGCCAGTAGTGTCTGATGTTGCAGAAAGCAGGTAGGGATCAGAAGGGGGTCTTTGGAAACAGGGGCAGAAACACCAGTGGCCCGTTGGAGTCATGGTGATGGCAGAGTCGGGGCAGAAGCAAATGGAAGGTGAGCCAGCAGAAGCAGCAGGCGTCCACCCCGCTCCTGAGAAGTTTGGTAGTGGTCGGAATGAGCAAAATGGCTCAGAAGCTTGGAGAGACTTGGCGCGACAGAGACCAGGGGGCTTATGCTCCCCTCTTTGCTGGGAAATCAGAAGCTACTCTGAGCCACTTGCAGGCAGTGAGAAAAGAGCTAGTGAACAGTGAGATCTGGGAAACAGGTGTAAGGCGTGAAAAAGGGTGCACTTCATGGAGTGGGCCCTGGACGAGGCACGGGTGGTGGCACCTGGGTGGAGGAGGGATCAGCCTTAGAAAAGAAGGGACTTCTCTTCTTCTGAGCCTGGAGGGAATGTGAAGAGGGCAGTGAAGACGGAAGTTTTGGGGTGGCGATCGGGGAAGTGAATGATAAGGCCGTTGCAGTGGGGTAGGAGATGGAGTTACCTGCCCAGAGAAGAGAGAGGTGGCTTCAGACCTCACAAAGGAGAAGGGCCAGAGGAGGGGGAAGGGGGGTGTGGTTAGCGATCTTCCAAAACCCAAAGGGAAAAGGAACAAACGTGGTCTGCGTGCCTTCGTAGAGAAGAATCAGGACCAGTGGGCGTATGTGGGGGGGAAGTAGATTTTGGTTTCGTCTGGGAAGACTGTTTAGGGAACTGAAAATGGAATAAATTCCCTGTCTCTTTTCCCACTCAGGCCTCAGGTCCGTGTACCGGCATTGCTTGCTGTATATGGGATCCTTGCCCCGGGGTGGAGAGTGGCCCATATGAATTCCATGTTCTCTCCTGGCTCTGAGACTGATGGCCGCAGGAATAACACTCAAAGGACAGGCACGTGAATTCACCTGTCTCACCAACCCCGTGTCTGGGGCCAGTGATCACACAGAGATCAGCTCCGAGGAAGGTGCCATCACCAGGAAACTGTCCCAAGGTC